GGCAAGTCTCTTTACTCGTTCCGTAATACATCATCCCACAACTAAATCATTAGTTACAATGCTTGCAAGGCTTATAGTGATGTGCATTACCGAGTGGGCCCAGAGATACCTCTCCAACAATCGGAGTGACAAATCCTAATCTCGAAATACGCCAACTCAACAAGTACCTTCGGAGACACCTGTAGAGCACCTCTACAATCACCCAATTACGTTGTGACGTTTGGTAGCACATAAAGTGTTCCTCCGGTAAACGGGAGTTCCATAATCTCATAGTCATAGGAACATGTATAAGTCATGAAGAAAGCAATAACAACATACTAAACGATCGAGTGCTAAGCTAATGAGATGGGTCAAGTCAATCACATCATTCTCCTAATGATGTGATCCCGTTAATCAAATGACAACTCATGTCTATGGCTAGGAAACATAACCATCTTTGATCAACGAGCTAGTCAAGTAGAGGCATACTAGTGACACTCTGCTTGTCTATATATTCACACATGTATCATGTTTCCGGCTAATACAATTCTAGCATGAATAATAAACATTTATCATGATATAAGAATATAAATAATAACTTTATTATTGCCTCTAGGGCATATTTCCTTCAAAATCTCACTCAGGAAACCGTCGAGCAGCTCCTCAACACCCCGATCTCAGGGGATTCACCGGCTGACAAAGTCTTAGAGGTGTCACGTCATTCCACTCTGGCTGAGCATGCTCGCCTTGCGCAAAGCCACCGAAACCTCATCGCGTGAGAGCAAGAGCTAGCGGACAACAGTCGGCAACATCAGCAGACATCCCGGTCTGTAGTTTGACGAGGGCAAGATATCAACAAGTTTGTAGCCAAAGGCCTAGGCGACTCCCGAGTCATGTGCACCCTGATTGAAAATGTCTAGGCCGCGACTAGAGTGGCAGATGCAATCCAACAACAGGGAGACAGAGACATCGTTGACGGCATCCAACAGCTGTCGAATTTCCTGAAGGTCACAGTCATGCAGAACAAGATGATTCACGACTGTCTGGCTTCTCGCAGCAGAGTGCCTGTGGGAACCGAAAACCGAGTGCCAACAATAGCCTCTTCACACCCACGACAGTTGGCCAGTCGTAGGGCCGACAACTGTGTGGGGGGATGTGCATGAGCCATTTCCATGTTGCCAGGGGGACCCTCCTCGGTGGCGTGAGGACCCTTCTCCATGACACCGACTAGATTCTCCTCAACACCATGATGGCGTCTTACCACAAGGGCATAGAGATGTTCCCCGTGGCCGAGATGATTATTCTCAACGAAGACAGAGGACTCTTCCTCATCGACGTGATGATTCTCCATGCCGGCAGGATGCTTATCCCCAACGTCATGATTTTTCGCCTCGCAATCGGGATTGTTCACCCTGACAGTTGGATGACCAGCCATGCAGACAAGACGATCAACGTCATAGGCATGATGACTCGCCCTGACATAATAGAGATTCACCTAGGATACGGGCGAATTCTCCACACCAATGGGGTGACCAGCACTACGACGCACGCAAAACCTTCGTTCAAAAGTGAGGGGGATCATGCACATGATGCAAGGCATGAACATGAGCATGACCGACCGAGTGGATCAGGATCCTCAGGCCCATTGTGCTTCTTGTTGTTGAGCTGGAGGATGTCTTCTTCAAGAACTTCTAGGGTATTATAGACAGAGACATCTAGAGTCGGAAGATCCATATGGTTCCTTTACCCTATCGATTCTGGATGAGTTCCGGAATTTAGAAGTATGATGGAAACACCAAGTCGGAAACTTGCCTCGCAGATTACCTATTGCCCGTGCAGATCGGACGCGGTAATGAGAATCTATCTATGCGGAACTTGTCTCTTTCCTGGAGGGATCAACTAGAGCGTGGATCAACAATATCTACCGGAAAATAGTATTTACCCCTGACAAGAGCTGGAGGATGTCTTCTTCAAGAACTTCTAGGGTATGTAAACGCGTCTCGGAGGTTAATAGAAACTAATGCTTTTGTGTGCGAGGGCCCAAGGAGATGCTACTTGTGAGCTGCGTTGAGATTTTCTCGAAAAGAAGTGAATTGCAGTACAGTAGAGATAAGTATTTCTCTTAGTTAAAAACCAAGATTATCAATCCAGTAGAAGAACCACACGAAACCTCGTTATCAGCACCTACACACAAAAGAGCAAATACTTGCACCCAACGTGATCAAGAGGATTGTCAATCCCCTTGGCGGTTGTTTGCAAGGATCAAATCTGATAATAATAGATAGAAATAAAACATAAAATAAAATAACGATAAATAAATTGCAGCAAGATATTTTTAGAAACAAAAAGCATACGGTGGGTAAACAAATTACTGTTGAAGACGTATCAGGAGAACACTCGGGATTATATAGAGGTGGACTCAGCTAAGCAACGCCGTGGAGGGTATCACAAAGGACAGAGCCATCCTGGCCTTCCAACGGGGTGTGAGGTACAAACACCTCCAGCTCAAGCTGGGGCTAACTAGGATTACGTCCATGCGCCTATTGATGGACATGGCCAACAAATATGCAAATGGAGAGGAAGATGACAGATTCCAAAAAGGAGAACCTCAAACCAGCCGACTGCTCATAATGGGTAGAACAATTAGATTTGCAAGAGCGACAAGAACAAGCGCCGTCAGAATAGACGTTGGAGATGGTCGCATTTGTCAGCTAAGGAAAGAAAGGTGTGGGGCAGAAAAAAGAATGGAGCCCGCGAAATAAACAGGAAAGTGAGAATATACTGGACAAGCCTTGTTGTATCAAGAATAATTTGGAATTCGGACACACACGCACACGCGAGCGCGCGCGCGTGCACACACACACACTAGCGCTTATGCCCATGCGTTGCGACCGAAAAGAAAATTAGGGTTATGTGCAATCACAATGGTTCATAGCGAATACACTATGAAGAAATGCTTGTTGTCCCACCTATATATGCAAAGAAATGCTGATTGTTCCATTCACCTAAACATCCAACAGTGCTACCGACGGCAGGGAGGCGCACGCTGAGGTCTAGAAGAAATACATATCAGCCGCACAATCACAAAAGGAGCCATAGCGTAGTTGGGAGTTCCACATAAGGTCATCGGTGCATAGCGTAATTGGGAGTTTTTTTTTCGGGGTTGTAGTTGGGAGTTCCACATAAGGTCATCGGTGCCTACTAGACGCTCAAAACACGGGCAATCATCTGGACACAGCTGGCTAGCCATGCCTCGCTTGTTTTTTTTTGAGATAAGCCTCGCTTGATGCAGGGCCGTCTTTTGCCCCGGACAACATGAAATATCCATGCATCTGTTTCTTGATATAATTAGAATTTTCATCGATGCACAGGCCTAACGAAACAATGGGAGGAACCCGTCAGGGGAAGGCCCAACCCAGCAAATTGGAAACTCAATCTTGTGTGGGCTTTGACACAGATAACAAAATCTATAGAAAAAATAACTTCACTTTAGAACACATCATCTTGTCTGGCTAGGTGGCAACCCCTGGGTTGTCTCTTTAACCCGCGCCACAGATAACAAAATCTATAGAAAAAATAACTTCACCTTAGAACACATCATCTTATCTGGAGGGTGGCAACCCCTGGGTTGTCTCTTGTATAGATTGTGTGTTTGACTCCTGGCTCCGGCGATTATTTTTTAGTCTTCAGCAGACTCCCGGTTTCGTTCGTACGTACGGGACGAGCACATATGTCCGTGCATTGCAACGGGAAAGAAAATTAGGGTTATGTGCAATCACAATGATTCATAGCGAGTACACTATGAAGAAACGCTAGTTGTTCCACCTATGTATGCAAAGAAATGCTGATTGTCCCATTCACCTAAACATCCAACAGTGCTACCGACGGCAGGGAGGCGCACGCCGAGGTCTAGAAGAAATACATATCAACCGCACAATCACAAAAGGAGCCATAGTGTAGTTGGGAATTCCACGTAAGGTCATCGGTGCATAGGGTAGTTGGGAGTTCTTTTTTTGTGGGGAGTAGTTGGGAGTTCCCCGTAAGGTCATCCGTGCCTATTAGACGCCCAGACCACCGACGGTCATCTGGACATCGCCGGCTAGCCATGCCTCGCTTGATGCAAGGCCGTCTTTTGCCCCGTACAACATGAAATATTCATTCATCTGTTTCTTGGCATAATTAGAATTTGCATCCATGCATAGGCCCAACGAAACAACGGGAGGAACCCGTCAGGCGAAGGCCCAACCCAGCAACGTGGAAACTCAACCTTGCGTGGGCTTCGACTTTGTGTGGGCTCTTTAACCAGCGTCACAGATAACAAAATCTATAGAACCGATAACTTCACATTAGAATGCATTATCTTGTCTGGATGGGTGGCAACCCCTTTGGTTGCCTCTTGTATAGGTCGTGTGTTCGACTCCTGGCTCAGGCGATCCCTGAGGACTGCAAGCTTCATGATCCCCTAGATGTTGCCCTGCATCACCTTTAGGGGCCCCTCCCAGCATATCCGTTGTTCTTCTCTGGCGGACAAACGATCAGTTCGCTGTTGCGGCGATGCTGCGAGATTCTGATGGTGGTGACAGCGGCCAGGAGGCAACACCTCTCGGTATACCAGCCAACAACAAGATTTTAGCTTGGTTCAAGAACCAACAAATCTCTCCCCTCACCTAAAGGGGAGGAAACAACATTTCACAAGACGGTAACTAAAAACAACAAACAACATACAAGAAAACCAAGCCAAAAAGAAACCAACCAAATATAGAGTTTACGCATAGCCAACAGGCCATCCATGACACACGAGTATATAGTGTTGATAGACAAAGACATCGACACACAAGACAACAAGTTCCATTTGCAGGGTGGTCGCGAGCCCGGAGTGCCAAAGCAAGAATCGTCATGTGATTCCACGCTTCCCCCTCCAAAAGCCCAGCAACTGCTGAATGCTGACTACATCTTGAGAGATACATCCCCCGCATCATGCCAGATCACACGGGGCTATGCTCTTTTGGCTTCAATTACTGCTACTTAGGACCCAAGGCTGCAATCTGCTGCTCCAACTACATCAAAAGAAGAATAGATTATTATGATAGGTCTACGAAGTACAGTGCTGCCTAAGTGGGTACATGGCAAAGGTTAAGTTGAGCTGGGAAACAAGGAGATACAACTGCTTTTTTTGAGCTAATGTATACATCTAACGAAACATTGTGACAAAATTAAGGCAGAAACATTCAACGACCAAATGGGACTTTCGAAAACCTCGAACTAAGTGCTCCAGAAACCAAAAAACATATTGCTATAAAAATTTCAACAGTAACAAAAATAAGATCAAGGCTATTATTGTTTTTTTATCTTAAGCAATATATGACCAGTCTATGTATTTACGATACTTGTGAGAAGTTGGAAGTCAAAAGCCAACATAGACGCATAAGATGCTACCTGCATAATGGCCTGTAGCCTGCCGCGCACATCATAGAACTCGTTCCTAAGAAGATTCAATGCCGTGAGACACCTGAAATAATGCAAACACACCACACTGTCACGTTCTGAAGGGGTTAAGCAAACTGAATTGAAATGCTTCGGAAATTGTAACCCGTTGTTTGAGAAAGAACTCTAGCCATCTCAAAACTTAGTTGTGGTATAAACAGAAGTCTAGAGTAACAAGTTACATGAGAATTATCAAAGAGGCATATATTGAGATAAAGAAGTGAGTTATATCAATCACCTTATTGGAGATGAAGTGAACAAGCAGGTTAGTTCTTATGAACCTTAGATTAATATGAGCCAAAAATAGTGTCATAAAAGACAAAATAAGCTTGCAGGTTTCACAGAGGGGATTTGATAATCACATAGAGTAGAGAATAATTACTATGCAACATATATAGTAAGGTATCAAGAACTGACCCTTCTTTGTTTTTTGCCTTGTAGAACTGGCGAAAGTGCTCGCAGGCGAGGTTAACTTTCCTAGCACCAACACTGATACATGCTAAAAAGAGCAAGATCAAGAAACTGAAAATTTCTCAAACTTAACAAACGCTAAGGAATGTTGATTCACATAAGCATAATTGCGGTGTCACAATAATATTGGGGGAGTCATTCATCATGGTTATTACCAAGATATTTTTTTTGATAAACCGGAAAAGAAAACAACATTGTTGGCCTTATGTGCGATAGCAGTTAGTAGTGCTAGAGATATTTATAAAACGATAAAATTTCCCTGGCCTAACAGGATGAATATCGGCATTTCCATTTGCACAGAACACAACTAAACTCGTCTCTTGGAATTATGGCTAAACGACAACACAAACTGCACAAGGCACATACCCACAACGTATACACACCCACGACGACAGATCCAAATAGAGACAACATCAATGTATGTAGCGGAGAAACACCCATTGGCGTTACATAGAGCAGGAGATCATTAATACGTTGTTGAATATCACATTCAATAGTATGAGCAATTTCCACAAGACGACAAAGTTTTCCTAGACAAGTTTTAGCATTGCCATTGGCAGGAATGCCGACAATTCCATCTTATGAAATATGAAACAAAACTAAACTCAGCTCTTCTATTTATGTGTATACGACAACCGCAAACGACACAACACCGACACATCCGAATAGAAATGTGGACAGACGAGGAAAACCGCCACCACCGTTATCCTGAATAGCATATCACTAGTAATAACATGATGGCTCACAAGACGACAAAGTTTCAATTTCTCGTCGAGCCATAACATTGCCGTTGGATGAATACCAGTACCCCCGTTAGGTACACAACAATTATTTCCTTAACGAGTTTTAGCATTTTGCCATTGCCAGGAATGCCGACAATTCCGTTATACTAAACCCAGCTCTTATATTTATGCGTATACGACAACCGCAAATGACACAGCACCGACACATCCTAATAGATTTGTGGACAGACAAGAAAAACCGCCATCGCCGTTACGCTGAATAGCATATCACTAGCTAATACCAGGAAGGCTCGCAAGACGACAAAGTTTTAATTTCTCGTCGAGCCATAAACATTGCCGTTGGACACTTATACTTATGGCTACGCAGTAGTGCGAAGCCGCAAACAACACCTACCAAAGGGTAATGCCCATGACAAACACATCAGAATCGATGCAGTGGGGAAATAAATCACCTGCAGCTGCACGCCTTGAGCTGGTGCACCAGTTCGCCCACCATTTCGAAGTCGACGATGGGCAGGTTCCTTGGAGGGAATCAGAAATTAAGCAGAGGAGACAAAATCATCAATACTCAAGACGATCGGGATAAGGAGAGCAGAGGGCTTGGGCGCGGTGGTACGGCACGGACAGAAGGCTGGTGATATCGTTGAGCATCCTGTCGGCGTCGCCGAGGAAGATGTTGATGACCTCGGGGACGAACCCCTCGTCCTGTGGCGACTGCAGCTGTTGGTAGTACTCGTCCAGAATTCCCTGGATCCATCAGGCCAAGTCAGAAGACAGCCATACAGCCATCCGGGGCACGAATTCCAGCCCCAGGGCCACACGGTCGCGCGCTACAGAGTTGAGGGGAGGGACGACTCACCGTGGCGTACATGTAGCTGATGTGCTCGTTGAGCTGGCTTCTTAGCGCGGCGGCCGACATGGCGAAGCGAGGAGGTCCGGGAGTCCGGCGATCCAGGAGACAGAGGTCGGAATTCGAAGCTGCTGGCGGAGTGGACGAGGACAGGAGAGGAGTGCAGGTCACGGAGGCTCTCTCACGGAGCCTTTTGGCAGGGAGTGCTCGTTAAACTCTACTGTGCTGGCCGCTATCAATGAAGAGCTTGGAGAGGAGTGCAGGCAGGTCACGGTGGCTCTCTCACGGAGCCTTTTGGCAGGGAGTGCTCTACTGGCTGGCCGTCATCAATGAAGAGCTTAAAGTTGAAGATGGCATACGTGCGTGTGCATGCAACTACATTTTGGTGGATGAATGGATGGATGCCGGGCCAGTAAGCTACAGGTTGACCACGACAGCGTCAGCCAGGCAAGCAGATGCTAGAAGGGCTTGACCACTCGTTCGGCCCTTAGCCCATGCCCCACTGGTCATTGACGGAAGGGAGTGTTGCTTTTGCAATGCATAGCCCCTCACTAAATAGTAAACTAGATCGGGATCGCGCCTTGGCGCGAGGGTGTCTGTTCAAACATTTTGGTCAAGCAGGTAATACTAAGTCCTAAGTCCAGTAGTAATCTTGGTTTAGCATATACATTCATACAGGGTAACAATACAATGAAGATTCAGTACAATAATGTTCATCTAAGGTTGTCTGAATTTCAGTTTCACATGAATATATATTTACTAAAAGACTTCCACTATTTGCACCAGAAGGCATCGTAAATGGTCCTCCAATGTGTTCTTGATGCCGAGCCCTACAGAGAAGGAAGAAGGGAACATGCGATCAAAGAGCACTACAAGAAAACTGAGATACTGTGTCGAAAATCCTCGTGACGGAGATGGACAACGTCATGGAAATACCTAATGTGTGATGTTTTCGTGGGTGGCATCATTGATTACCGCAAATCAGAGACGATAGAAGTCACTAAGTCGTTTCAACCTTTGAGCGCACCTGGCTACCAATTTCTACGACGGTTTGGTAATTTCTTTGACGAACCTAATAGATTCGCCGAATATTGCGAATGTTTTATGATAAAATTTTCTCAACTAGTGTCTACCGATGGGACCCGCCATAGCTGCTTCCACTAGTAGAAAATAGGGCTTTGGTCACAACTCAATATACAAATTAGTCCCGGTTGCATTACGAACCGGGGCTAATGTGAGCATTAGTCCTGGTTCGAGCGGCTAAAGGCATTAGTCCCGGTTCAAATGAGACCTTTAGTCCCGATTTGAGACACGAACCGCGACTAAAGGGTGCGATGCTCTTTAGTCCCGGTTCGTGTCTCAAACTGGGACTAAAGATTAGACCTTTAGTCCCGGTTTGAGACACGAACCGGGACTAAATGGTGTGATGCCCTTTATTCTCGGTTCGTGTCTCGAACCGGGACTAAAGAGGTTCGTGTCTCAAACCCTACCACCCCCCTTGTATCGCCATTTCAGTTTTGAAAAAAACAAAAGAAAATGATAAAAACTTCAAAAAATAAAATCCTTCGAGATGTAGTTATATTACTACATCTACTAGTTAGGAAAATTTGAAAACTTAAATTTGGACATGTTTTGTAAAAAACTGTTATGAAAAAGTAAAACGGCCATAACTTTTGCATACGATGTCGAAAACACGTAGATATATCAAAATGTTCAGCATGAAAATCCGCATCCGATTTTGACTGTCGTAGGCCTGTTTGCAAATTTTTAGAATCCTCAAATTTTAAAAGAAAAAAAGTTATGCTCAAATTTCATTTTTTTTAATTTCGGTTAAATCTGGTCAAACTATGGTCAAACTACTTATTCAAGAAGTATTAGTGTTACTAAATAATTATTCAAGAATATTAGTTTTACTAAATAACTATTTTAGTTTTTTTTGAATTTTGGTCAAATCTGGTCACACTATGGTCAAACTACTTATTCAAGAAATATTAGTGTTACTAAATAATTATTGTTTTTTAGAATAATAGTTTCAAATTCAAACAGTGAAACGTATGACTTCATGCTCAAGCTAAACTCCTGAGGGTTAATAGGATTGATATCTTACTATTGTCAGGAAAACAACAAGTGCAGACTTGGAAACGAGGGGGAATAGAACCCGAAAGTTAAGCGTGCTCAGGCTGGAGTAGTGAGAGGATGGATGACCGGCCGGGAAGTTAGATAATTTGGAATAATGAGGGGTGATTAGAGATTAGAGGTTAAATTGAGCAGTGATGAGGGGTGTTTAGAGATTAAATTGTAAAATAATTCAGAAATTTGAAAATCGGGAAAAATTAAAAAAATTAAAAAGAAAATCATAAAATTTCCTTTAGTCCTGGTTGGTGTCCAGACAGCAGCCACGTGGAGGGCCTTTAGTCCCGGTTCGTAACAGAACCGGGACAAATGGGCCTTTTTCTACTAGTGTTCATGGCTTATTGAGCGGTAGGACCTGTGTACCAATGTTGGCAGTAGGACCCACCTTGTTTTTTTAGAGTCTAGTGAGCTCTATAAATATTTTCTTCCATCTAATATAGATAGGTAATAGCCAGTGAAAAACTTATTTTGTTCCATCTAAAAAAATAGATAGTGGCCGGGCAAAAAAAACTTGAAACCATGCATTCATGATTTGATGTTATTTCGTTCTATACAAAAATAAAAATGGAAATATAAGTTAACAAGTAAAAGTTTGGTACACGGGGTTTGAACCGGGGACCATTATGGTCTGAGCAAACGGCGGTGCTAATAGGCTAGAATTTTATTTAGATACTTATATGTATTTAGATACTATATGCATCCGAAAAATAATATTATGGTCATTGACCGAAGGGAGCGTCCCTTTTGCAATGCACTGCCTATCATTAAGAAGTACATTGCATACATATACTATATGTTAGTTTTCCTAATGCATATTCTTGGCATGTTGATATCTTTTACCTCGAAAACATAAATACATAAAACACATAAATACGTAATAATGTTGGTTTGTGCTAAAACAAGGAAAGAAATCATGATTTCATCAATGCAAAATGCCAAATCAATTTGTAGATTTTTTAGTGGTATTCACATCCGACGTGGACTTTAATTTGGAACATGGTTCCACAGGATCCCCCTGCGAATAGTAAATTTGGAAAACATACTTGGACAAAAAATCTTATTTTTTTGTAAGATATGTAGCCGACCGATATACTCGCGTATGAAGCTTCATGATGAAATGATATCCGTGGTATTCTGAGCAAAAATGAAGAAACGATGCTATAAAAAAGGCAACTGCTAGGCGTCAGCCGAAAAGGATCAGCCACTTCGCCAGCCATCGATTCACCCTAATAAGAACCCGTTTGATCCTCCTGTTGAGTTGACCATGCCATCTCTTCAATCCCCATGTACGCAACATCCGCATAAGTTGCAAAAAAACACCTGCATAAGTTGCAAAGAAGCATCCCCGATTCCCGACCCATGCCCTCGTGTAGCTCTAGTGGGGGTATCAGCTTCCGTCGACAGAGCATGTTGTAACATAGCATCCTACACGACTCTGGCGGCAGCTCATAAGCTCATCACGCTCGAGCATGCTGCAATGCAACACCCACGTGACTTCGGCTAGCAACCGCGCTAGTCCATCTTGCAAGCACAACGGTGGCAGCATGCGATGCTACATCACAACTCCTTTCTTCCTGCTCGCCACGGATCTCTGGCTTGCAGCACCCTGACCCGGCTCTATCGCAACCTTGAAGTAGCCGACGCTCCAAGCTAGGGGCCATATGACACTCCGGTGAGTGGCCTCGAAGTACAAGCACATTAGCTGCTATGACGACCCGTTGAACCAACGACAACTGTTGCATTGTCGGCGAGCTCTTAGGTTGCAGCATCGGCCGCGGCTACCACGCCGACAAGCTTGTGGTAGCAACGTCAACGAGGCTCTGCAGTTGCAGCATCGGCATGCGAGTGCGGCCTTGTAACATTGGCCTCTAGCAACGCTAGATTGCAGCAGGCCAACAGCCATGGCAGCTGCGACGACCGGCTACAATAGCATACACCGATTGCAGCACTCTGGCGAGTATATAAGGTTCCAGAACTAGCAAGTGCTGCCACGAGCGGCTTCCTGGGCCAGATCGAGTAGATGCTACGGGGGAGATCTGATCAACACGCTGGGGGTAGGAGAAAAAAAATAGCGGTGAATGCTTTGTTGGTCGGGAGCTGAGGTGCGCTGGCCTCAGCGGGATGTGTGGCAAGCATAGGAGGCATCTCAAGGATTTTCCAACAAAAACACACTTTTGAACGAATAGTATAATCCTGATTATATTTTCTTCACTAACAATACCACGGGTTCTCATTCGTTTATACAACTTCATATGGGAGTAGAATGGTCAACCAAGTTTGATACTCCAAATTCCAAGATTTTTTTGCATTTCTCTAGTATTTTTTTTTTCTGATTTTACAAATCATGTGGGTGTGCACCTTTGTATTCCGGTATTCACACCCTTTTATGTCAATGTAAGGCATTTATCTTCTCTCGCGATTGGTGAAGTTCGCTAAAATGACTAGAATAAATATGACCACAACATATTTTCTCTGCACCCATTAGTCTCTAGCTTGAAAACGTAATATGCAAGAATATTTGCAGTTTGGCAAGAAGGC